AGGAACCAGAGTGGACGCTCGAGAGTTCAGGGGGCTGAGAAAACAGAGGAGGGTGTCCAGGCGGAGACTCAGCGAGAAGCAAGGCAGAGGGCCCCAGGGGCCGCCAGGCGGGGGGAGGGGTGCCCCGGCCCTGGTGGCCTTACTCGGGTAGTTCCTGCAGCCTCCGGCCGTGGAGCCCCGCCGCCAGTTCCCATCCATCTTGGTGAGCTTCCACTTCTTGTAGGTGTCAGCGGTGAGAGTGTCGGGGGTCAGGTTGCAGATCTCCAGGCGGGAATAGTGCCTCAGGAAGTCGCTGAAAGACATCCTGGCAAAGGGGGGACACGGGCATCGGGGTGACGGGCGGGCACGCCAGTCATCCTTGACCAAGGCCAGGCGGGCGGCCCGGAGACGGCACCCCGGGGCCGTGTGGCCACCGGGTCCGAGGTCGGAAGGCCGGTTCCAGGCCTGGTGCTGCCGCTTTCTAGCCGGGTGACTCTGAGCAAACAGCNGCTGCCGCTTTCTAGCCGGGTGACTCTGAGCAAGCAGCTTAAACCTCTCTGAAGCTCAGGGGCCTCATCTGTAAAAATGGGAGCCCCAAGAATGAAATGAGACCACATACGGGCGCTTGTTTGGTAAATGGCAACTGGTCTGCAGATGGAGGTGGTCAGAGTGGCACAGACACACAGACACAGACACAGACAGACACACAGACACACAGATACACACAGACACACACACACACACACAGACGCACAGACACAGAAAGACACACACAGACACACACACAGACACACACACACAGACACACACACACAAACACACACAGACACACAAACACACACAGACACACACACAGACACACACACACACACACACACACACACACGTGTGCGGGTCCACTATGCTCTCTAAGGGACCGGTTTCTTAGGCGTTGGGATGAACCTGCAGAGAAACTCCCATCTTTCCCGTTTTATCTCGGGGTCTGAACGTGACCGCGGGGGCGCCTCACAGTCGTCTCCGTGAAACTGCTCAGCTCTTAAACCCCACGGTGGAGACGGGCAAATGGAAGAGCTTGGGGAACTTTTTTGGTTTTGTTCAGGGTCTGGCAGTGATTTAAAACAACAACAAAACCCGGATCCCACGCCCCAGGGCCCTCGCCACCCTAATCTCACTCGCTTCCTGGTAAAGATCGGGGCCCTCGCCACCCCAATCTCACTCGCTTCCTAGTACAGATCGGGGCCCTCGCCACCCGTCTCACTTGCGTCCTAGTAAGATCGGGGCCCTCGCCACCCCAGTCTCACTCGCGTCCTAGTAAGATCGGGGCCCTCGCCACCCCAATCTCACTCGCGTCCTAGTAAGATCGGGGCCCTCGCCACCCGTCTCACTCGCGTCCTAGTAAGATCGGGGCCCTCGCCACCCGTCTCACTCGCGTCCTAGTAAGATCGGGGCCCTCGCCACCCGTCTCACTCGCGTCCTAGTAAGATCGGGGCCCTCGCCACCCGTCTCACTCGCGTCCTAGTAAGATCGGGGCCCTCGCCACCCGTCTCACTCGCGTCCTAGTAAGATCGGGGCCCTCGCCACCCGTCTCACTCGCGTCCTAGTAAGATCGGGGCCCTCGCCACCCGTCTCACTCGCGTCCTAGTAAGATCGGGGCCCTCGCCACCCGTCTCACTCGCGTCCTAGTAAGATCGGGGCCCTCGCCACCCGTCTCACTCGCGTCCTAGTAAGATCGGGGCCCTCGCCACCCGTCTCACTCGCGTCCTAGTAAGATCGGGGCCCTCGCCACCCGTCTCACTCGCGTCCTAGTAAGATCGGGGCCCTCGCCACCCGTCTCACTCGCGTCCTAGTAAGATCGGGGCCCTCGCCACCCGTCTCACTCGCGTCCTAGTAAGATCGGGGCCCTCGCCACCCGTCTCACTCGCGTCCTAGTAAGATCGGGGCCCTCGCCACCCGTCTCACTCGCGTCCTAGTAAGATCGGGGCCCTCGCCACCCGTCTCACTCGCGTCCTAGTAAGATCGGGGCCCTCGCCACCCGTCTCACTCGCGTCCTAGTAAGATCGGGGCCCTCGCCACCCGTCTCACTCGCGTCCTAGTAAGATCGGGGCCCTCGCCACCCGTCTCACTTGCGTCCTAGTAAGATCGGGGCCCTCGCCACCCGTCTCACTCGCGTCCTAGTAAGATCGGGGCAGACCCCTCCCCGCGGCCTCCAGCGGTCGTACCAGAACTCTCCGTCCTCGTGCTGCCTGGTGAGCCTCTCCCTCACCTCTGGGTCGACGGTGTTCCAGTTCGGGCAGCTGGGAAACCAAGCCGTGGGAGACGCGTCAGAAACTAACGTGGGGCGATCGACGACTTCTCCCCAAAACCGAGGGCCAGGGACACGCTGTCCCACCTCTGAGGGCCCAGACCCCAGCCAGGGAGGGAAGAGGCGCAGTGGCCGAGAGGTGCGGGGGGTCGAGGTGAGAGGGTGCGTCATTCGGGAAGACGGTTGCGGGGAAGAGTCCAGAAAATGAACACGGCCCATCAGAGAGAGATGGAGACCACTGCCCAGACCGAGAACGGCTGGCAGCAGTTTTAAGGGGCCACGTTGGCCTCTGCTGCTGGTCAGGAGGCCCTGGCTGGGAGCAGGCCAGAGAGAAACAGCTAGAGCTGCAGGTGCCCGGCGGTGCCAGAGAAAGGGTAAGATCGCCAGAGGGGCTCGAGGGAGATTTTACCCCAGGCCCAGGAGTAACAGGCCCACCAGGAAGCCCCGGAAATCACCAGCAGGACTTCCCTCTGGTCTTAGGCACAAGTCTACACCTTTGGAACAGAACAAGTGCTTGGTGGAAGAAAGGTGTGCTCCCCTCCTCGAATGTGAGCGAGGGAAAGATGAAAGGAATGAGCATCACCGGAGCCCTGGGCCTTATAAAAAGGCACCCGATGGCTGGAATGTGCTGGTTAAGTCTTAGGGGGCCCACCTGCCCGTGGGTCCCCCTCGGTGAGGCCTGTGCGCTCCGGGCCCATTCCTCAGCACAGTGCACCGAGCCTTCCCCTCCCTTCCCCAGAGCCTGTTCCAGCAGGACGCGCCCCTCCCAATCCCGGGCCCCAAGGAGCTCCTCACTTGTCATTCCACTTCCCGGTCCACTCCACCTCTCCCCAGGGATTCCGGATGCGGATCAGCTTCTGCAGGCTTCCTCTGCTCTCCACCTGCAGGCGGGGAGGGTTGACTGAGTTCAAGCCAGGCCTGGAGGTTCTCGGACCCAAAGCCGCCTTTTCCACCAGCCAAGGGAGTTGAGTCCATGTTATAAGAGTGGGGAGGGGAGTCACAAGTAGGCAGAGCCCCAGCTTTGACGGCTCCTGGGACCCAGCCCTCGGAGGACCTGGGCTTTTCAACCTCTGTGGTGAGCCTGGGGCACAAACGCGCTTATTCTAGACCCTGAACCTCAGGTTAACCGACGGCAATAGGATGTCCGTTTGTCACAGGAGCTCAGGGAAGCTGGAGATAAGCATGACTCTTGATTGAATCCTGGGTTGGGGGACTCTATAAAGGATATTTGGGGGGAAAATATAAATATGGAGTATATATTAGATGATGTCATTGAGTTAGTGTTTATCTGCTCGGGCCTGACACGAGCACCGGGATTTGTAAGAGAACCGGAGTGTCGTAACATCAAGTCATGTTCACATGGCTCGGGGAAAAGCACCCGCGCAAAGAGAGACCAAACCGACGTGGCGGAATGTTAACAACGGTTGGATCTAGGGAAACCACCTTTGTATGTTTACTATTCTTTCCACTTTTCTATAGACCTGAAATTTTTCAAAATAAAAAGATATGTGTGGGGGCAGGGGGGAGACGAAAACAAAAATTCAAGGTAAAAAGAAAACCTCTGGGCATTTTAGAAGACCTTCTAGTCTGGGTTTGGTGATTAACAGTGAACTTGGGCTGCTTAATAATATTTATTATAATAATAACCACAGTAGCGAGTGCAGATACTACTTAGACACAATGTTTCAGGCACAGTCTGAGCACTTTACCTATATTAACGCGACCGAATCACCACCGCCTTACGATGGATATTATTATTTCTAATATAAAGACGAAGAAACTAAGGGTCAGAGTGTAAGTAACTTGCCCGGACCACACAGCTGGCGAGAGGCAGTGTCAGCCTTGAACGCTAATGTGGGCACTAATGCTTTTGGAGATCAAATGTGAAAGCACTTTAGAGGGTAGAAAACGCTACGCAGATGTAAAGTGGCCTTTCTTTCCTGTTAGCTGGTCCGGAAGAGTGAGCCAGTTCTAGAAGCAAGTAGCACCGGAGCGCCTGGCTGGGAGCGGGCGGCCGGCAGAGGGCAGCGAGCCCCGAGCCCCGCGGCGGGAGGGACCGGGAGGGACCGGGAGGGACCGGAAAGGGCCGCCCCAGTCCTGTCTGAGCTTCAGGAATGTGAGGCCTGTTCAGAAACGGCTGTGCGGACACGGGGCCCCGCCCTGGGCCGTCACAAGCAAAAATAAGCTTTGGCCAACGAGTTAGGGGGAGGGAGGGAGAGAGGGAGGGAGGGAGAGAGAGAGAGAGAGACAGACAGACAGACAGACAGACACGGTGAAAAATCCCTGCGGGGCCCACCTCCTCAGCTCCGGTGACAGAGTATGCGTGTCCCTTCACCAGCTTCTGCATCGTGACGGCCTCCGAGTCCGCGATGCTGGTGATCTGGAAACACGGGAGGAATCAGCCCGAGCTGGGGCACCCTGCCTGCCCCCCATCCCTCACCTTGGCCGCTCTAACTCGGGGCGCACAAGTGCAGGGGCGTGGCCCTGGGTGTGGCCTTGGGGAGGCCACAGAGCTGTGCTTTCCAGCACCCCAGCACCTCCCGCTACCGTTTTCAGACGCTGGCCCGCCTTTCACAACAGGAGCAGAGGCTGAACGAACAACCCCCGGGGGAGAGAGCGCCTGCACGGGGGCGTGCTTGGCGCATTCAAGGTTTCTGCAGGCTGAGGAGGGTCCGGCTAGGACACACCATGGAGAGAGGACCGGGGAGCGCTTGGGCTCAGGACAGACACCAGACAGCACCAGGTGGCCCAGCACGGGGTGTCTTGGTAAATGGGAAGATGGGCTGTGGGTAGAAAGGGCCTTTTGCCTCAACAGGGCCTTCAGAAAGAGTTTGAGAGTCCCTGTCTGGGGTTGGAGGGATTTCTGGGCCCCCAAGAGCCAGGGCTTCTTTTTGCTGTCCCACGGGGACCAGGTCCTAGATAGGACAGGGCTTGGGCGTGGGCACAGCCTTTGCCTGGAGGCTCCTTGAGGACAGACATCGCCCCACTCCCTTCCCCTGGTGAGGTGCCAGCGAGGCCAGTATGAGGACACAGTTCCTGTACAGTGCCTTCTGGTTAGTGCCCTGCGACAGTGAGGGGAAGGAGCTGGGCTCCAGGCGCAGGCCCTGCAGATGGGGAGGGGGGTCCTTCCCTTGGGACCAGCAGAGGGCAGGGGGCTCAAAGGGAACCTGTGGTCTAGGGTGATGGTTCACAGGAGGCTGAGGGTGGAAAGTGGGCCAGAGAGGGAAGGGCTGGAGGTACCATTACCCCTTCGGTTGTACCCCAGACCGCCTGGCTGTTGCCTAGCAACCCCGGGGATCCAGGTGACGCTCACTAAGGTGCACAGGGATGGGCTAATGTTGTAAGTGGGGCAGTGGGTTTCCTGGGCACTGCTGGGGGCTCACCCAGCTGGAGCAGACCCGAGGTGGGGTCGGGAGGGGGCCAGCACTTACATCGATGGAGCAGCCCAGGAGGGAGCCCTTCTGCAGAGCCTTCTGGATGATCTTGAACAGGTTGGCAGGGGCCTTCTTCAGCTCGTACCACTCAGCGATGCCTCCCGTGAAGTCCTCAAAGCCCTCGGTGGTGGCTCCCCCCGAGAGCGCTTCGTAGCATCCGTTGATCCTACAGGAGGGGAAGAGAAGCTACTGCCACCTGCCACTGTGGCCTCTCAAGGGGTCCCCTTCTCTCTCTTTTCTTTAATATATACATATTTTTGATTTCAGAGAGAGGAAGGGAGAGAGAGAGAGAAACATCAGTGATGAGAAAGTCATTGATCGGCTGCCTCCTGCACGCCCCATGCGGGGGATCGAGCCCGCAACCCGGGCATGTGCCCTGATGGGGAATCCAACTGCAATCTCCTGGATCCTAGGTCGACGCTCAACCACTGAGCCACACCGGCTGGCTTGTGTCCCCTTCTTGATGTCTCCTTTGTTGGACGCTCCAGGGACCCTCTGCTCAGATTCCCCTCGCCTTGGTCTCCAACTCAGGGCGCCCACGAGGGCAAGTTATCTCCACAGCTACCATTTCCCTGGTACTTTGAAAGGTTTTTTTGAAAATCGCATAGAAGCTGAGTGTTGGAGGCCCTAGGGGATGATCTGGTCCAACCTCCCACATTGATCCTTCCTACTTCAAGACAGGAAAGGGGAGGTCTGCCAGTTAGCTATTTGGCATTTATAGCTTTAAAAAAGACACTAATTCAATAATGAAGGCACTTTCCTGGAGCAGTAGGCAGTGTTTGGGGGCCTTGGGAGTCCTGGGGCTTTGCTGACTCTGCTTCTGAGCATATGACTTAGAGGTGGCTCCCGGGGCCAGACTCTCACGGGCCCG